CATGGCATTGTGGTGACTCCCGAATTTGAGCTTACATCCTCACCCACAGCTTCTGTGGCATGAATGGCACACCTCATTTCTTTGTATCTGAATCAAAACTAGTGTGATTTTTTTTCTATGAATCAAAACTAGTGTGATTTATTTAAAAATACTCTGTAGAATTCTTTAAAAGTATATGTGATAAACAACTTCTAAATGCTTGAGGGCATTTTGAGTGCTTTTACAGACAAACAAAGGTATTGTGATTTTAAAGTAGCATCATCTTAGAAACAAAGTTCCACCTTAAATGTGTCTAATAAGAGTTAAACAATTTTTGAAAATAGAATGTGATGGAGTTATGTAGAGTTGCAGGTCCTTGGGTTCACTCTGGGAAAGGTTTCACCAGAGCTCCCGTTTCAGCGGCACACGTAGCGTTCCCCAGGCGTGTTTCTTCATGAGATGGAGACATTAGTTATATTTAAAGAGCAGGTTTATTAGGAAAAGGGAAAGGGACAGGTATTGCTAAGAGAGGACTGCATGATTGCAGGCAGGCTGCCTTGACAGGTCATGGGCAGGCAGGAAGCTGCTACCCTGCAGAGGGAGAGAGTTGGGGAAAAGAGGCATCTGCATAGTCACAGGTGGGCAGTGGGAGTGCTGCCCTAAGCCTGTGCAGAGACTGTACTGATATAGCCCTTCTCTCTTTGGGAAGGGACACTCTTCCATGGAGTGGACTGCTTGTTGCTGATGTTGGGTAACAGGCAAAACTAGAAAGGGATCAAAGATTCCAGGTTGGGCCCAATCTCCATATCTTTACCCTCAGGCCTGTGCTCCACTCCCTATAGCAGTCTGATCTTGCTTGTGTCTCTTGCCTTGTGATGAGGCACTGATGCCTAAGGGTCATGACCTCTACAGCTGGGTTAATGGTCTTGTGATTCCCCTCAACCTCCCACCTCCTTGTGTGAGTCAGGTTTTAGCCTTGTGAGGCCTCCTTTCCAGAGTTTCTATTCTTGTCCTCCACCAAACATATGTAGCTTCATTTCCTCTGCAGTGAAATGCCATTTCCCCCTGATTTGATCAGCCTGTTCTCCTTAAGCTTGCTTCTTCCAATGCTCTGTGCTTGGCATGGTAATTAGGAAATTCTGCTGTCAGCGATAGGATCTCCTGGCTATTTCTTGAGCTATACTTACCACAACTTAGTTCCTCAACATTTCCCTGCAGAGTGTGTGGTGTATTTTTAAGTAGTAGGATTTGGGGAAAACAGTTCTGTGAGAAAGGAACGTCAGAGACAAGGCTGTAGAGAAGGATAATCAGCTGGGGTTGCTAGCTTTTAATTGAAGTTTAGTTGGAGGTTCAATGAGGTGAGACTGTTATGACAGATTTCAGAATGTAATGATAGGAAAATGGGGTGGTTCATCAAAGTCAGAGTAAATACAGAGCAACGGCTTAACAACTCAGCGTGAAACAACAGCTACAAACTCTCAAAAAAATACAGAGTAATTAAAATTTGCATTGTGCAGCCCTCCATCTCAGTGGGTACCTTTCCAAGGAAAGCAGTAACTTTATGGTGAAAAATATAAACACAAATTTGGAGATGCAAATCACATGCATGTTTTAATCTGAATCATAAACACTGAAAGTTTGAAAACTGTAAATATAATCAAAGTACATAACTAGCTGAAACCACATTTGGGAAAGACCTCAAGGTAAAATGTCCTCCAGTTGCTCCCTCTCCCCAATGCCCTGTTTTGTATTTAAAAAAGGAAGAGGTGGAATTCTATCCTCCAATTTCTATGCAAATCCTTACCTTTTATTTGTTAATGTCACTGAAAGAATAGTAGTTTTGACCCTTCTCTTTATTTTGTCTCTCATCTCTTCTCCTGCTATGCATGTGATGTTGGAGATTAGAGAGTGAGAGCCAGAATGATTAATTGTTGGATAATTTGCATCCTGGAAGGAAGGAGAAATTTTACCCAAATATACCTCAATTATTTTATTTCTGCACTTCAAGCATTTCTAGTGACCTCAACTTGAACCCATTTTAAGGGTTGAGCTTCGAGAGATGGTATAAGATAGTAGAAAATTGACTGAGCTAGTGTTTAGGAATCGTACTTGGATTATATTCCTTGACTGCCCCTTGCTGCCAACTTATTTTCAACAAATCCTTTACTTTTCTGGGCCACAGTATCTCCATCTGTCAAAGTCATTGAGTTAACATGTAATGGGCTGCAAGGTTTCTTCCGATTCAAATTGTCTGCAATACAGTGCCCCATGGATCTACTCCAATCCAAATGGGATTCTGAAAACTCAAACTGTTAGGGGGAAAAGGAACCCGTTTAATATCGGGGCTGCTCTATAACAAAACCAACATGTTACTTCTCTTCTCAAATGCCCATGAGTCCCAGAGTAAAGTGTTCTAGAGAAGACCCAAGGTTATCTGCTGCCAGACTATTAATTTAACTAATTTAAAATCAAGATTTACTGAGATTGATTTAGAAGCCCTTTGTCCTGGCCTCACTCGGTACATCTTCACCTTTACCAGGCCACCCAAGTAGGAGGACGTGGTATATGTGTAGATCATCAGTCATGGTTGGAGTTGCCATTGAGATAAGCCAATATAATAATCCTAGATACTCCATCTATACAGCGAGGAGGGAAGTATTTAATAGGGTACCTGTCCTGCATTTCTCTCACACTGCATTCCCATTTCAGAGTAGGGTAGTAAAATTTACAGGATTATAGGGAGAGAATGATAACAGCAACCTACCATTTATATAAATGACTTCAAATGAAATGGAAATGTTATATTTGGAGAAAGCTTAGCTTTATGAAACCTAAGTTTAATTTGAAGAATCTTTTTTTTTTTAATTTTATTTATTTATTTTATAGAGGCATGTTTTTATTTATTTGTTTGTTTGTTTGTTTTTTTGTTTACACATGCACTGGGTACAGTCAGAAGCACAGGAGGATGAGAGAATTCACCAGAGCCAGAGCGGGGAGCAGAGCAGGCAGAAGGACCGAAGCACACTGCTGAGGGGAGCAGCAGGCGGCAGGAGAGGTCTGAGCGCCCTGTGGGACCCTCCTCTGGTAGCCGGGAGCAGCCGGGGATCGAACCGGCGCTGCAGAGGCTGCGGGCAGCTTCGCAATCTAGCGCTCAACCGCTGCGCCACTGGGGAGGCCCTGAAGAATCTTTTTATTATGTCGTGTAGCTGAGTGATTCCACCAAGACAATGTGTTGTCAAGTTTCCCTTGATTGTTTTAAGTTAGAAAATAGGGAGTACATTGAGAATTTACATTTAAAAAGAAAACAGGGGCCTCCCTGGTGGTGCAAGGGGTTAAGTCACAGCACTATGAAGCTATCCACAGGCACTGCAGCAGGAGTTCAATTCCTGGACAGAGAGGTGACCCACATGGCGCAGAAGACCTCTCCTGTCTAGCCTGCTGTTCCCCTCAGCAGTGTATTTCAGTGGATCTGCCTGTTCTGCTCCCCACTCTGTCTCTGATGGATACTCTCACTCCCCACACCTCTGGCCTGCACCCCAGTCTTATATGCATAAATTAAAAAAATCTTCAATAAAAAAATAAATAGAAAGCACAAATATGAAGTGCACTGAGAATTTAGCAAGCCAGTATAGTACATGACAAGAAAGAGTTGGCATTGAAAGTTGGGTAAGAGAAATGGTTGTGATCTCAATATGTTTTCTAGTTGAGACCACTCAGGTTGGGGACAAAGTTCGGGCCTGCATAGCTTCATTCACCTTGGCACCTTACCCAATTGAAAGACTATTTCAAACAGAATGCTCTACCACCAGAGGGGGTGAGTGGCATACATAGGGTGTTGAAGGTGCATTCTTTAAGATAGTCTGTAATGGTGATAGACCTCACATTTTTCAGAACTGTAGGAAAGAGATTCATTCATTTCCTCCTACATTTGTCCACTAGCAAATATTTACTGTGCACACTCAGGATTGTGTGAAGTACAGTGCTAAAGGACACTGAACCCCTGAATTCATGGAGTGTATGTTCTATAGGGAGGTGATATCACTGAAGAATCAGTTATTGAAAACACTGTGTGGAGGGCTATAAAAGGAAAGTTAACACAGCCCTGGTTGAGTCTTCAGGGTTAGAGATGACTCTTCTAGGGAATTCATGGTTCACTTGCAATTTGAAGGATGACTGGAAACTAACTAGGGAAACTAGGAAGTTGCAGCTAACATTCCTGATGGAAAGAGAGACATGAAGAGGAAAGTAGGGTGGGCTTGGAGAAGAGACTGAAGAAAGCCTCATTCTAGGATGTCATGCTGAGTTGTGGTCAATACCTTTCAATAAAAGGCCAAGAGAAGTTCTCCCTGAGGCCACAGTAGGCACTTCTACCAGCAAATGCTGCTTTCATATCCCCACAAAATCACCTCCTGTGCTGTAGGCTATGAAACTAATAGTAACCGCAGAGCATCTCTGGAACTCACAATGTACCCCAGAGTCAGCTGGAACCTGAAGCCACCATTCTTCAGATCCCTTCACCTCTCCACATCCTTATAGAACAAGTGGCTCTGGAGTATGACTCCCAGTATGCTATGCCAACACTGAGCGAGGGTTTCTCCTTTTGGTCTTTCAGTTTGGGGCCCATCAAAACAGTTGATCTAGACTTTGAGCCTGGTGGGGCTGTCAGACTTTATAGACACTATAGCAGGTGTTAGCCTTGGCAGAGATATTGCTCATCTTTGGGGGGATGAACTCAATGTTTTTGCAAATGCTGCACATGTGGCTAGAGGACCCAGAGCTGAAACTCTGGGGTAAGTGTGGAGCTCCTGGCTGACCTGTCTATACTGCATCGGTGGGGAATTGGGGTACAGTCGTAGCCACAGTAGGAGTCATCCCATTAAGGAAAGGAACTTATCAGTAAGTCTGAACTTAGGCACTCCCTCAATCCAAACTTGATTAAGTTTGGAAGTGTACATGTCATCTTTTGTTTATTACCATAAATCTATTCTATCAAGCTTAATTTTCCTTTTCTTTGTTTTCAGGAGAGTAGATCTGGAGAAACCAATAGCTGTGTGGAAGAAATAATTCGGGTAAGGATATTCTTTTACAAATCTTCTCAGCTGGGTAGACATAGACCCTCTTTTTGTAGAGAAAGGGGATGCAAGGCTACATTATCAAAGGTGGCTCCACCTTGGTTTGTTGTTTGACATTTACCTTTTCTGATGGTAATCACATAAGTCACCTAAGTGATATGTGTTTCTTTGAAACATCCTGAAGCTGCACCTCAATCTGGTGCTTTTGCATTAAAGTGATCAGCTGGATGACAGAACACAGAGTTGAGATGAAAAACATGGTGGTGCTCACATTTGGATGCCCCCATTTATCACCCTGCTATTTAAACACATTCTTTAATTGTCTGTACTTTTGAGGCAGGCAGGGGTTGCCTTGTTATTTTTCTTCTAAACTTAATTAAAATCAGAAGCACTCTGACAAGGAGGTAATGTTCAGCATCTGAAATTTATTTCTATATTGTTTTGCATGTTATTATTTTGCCTGTTGCTCTCTGGAAGCTTGTGCTTTTCATCAACATCATCTCTAGTGGATTCCTGCCGAGAGCCTGTTTCACACCCAGATTCACTTAGCTTCAGTGGTTCCGCCATATTAGTGTTTTCTGGTTATTCAAACTTAAAGTCAGGATGTCATTTTCAACCCAGACCTTCACCCATATTTTCTCAAGGAAGTAATCTAATAATTTACAGTTCTCAGAAAGCTGATATTACACTGGGCAAAACCCCAGATGAATTAGCCCAGAAGGTATGACAATGTCCTTAAAAAAATACTTTAATATGCATTTAACTTTTGGATAACCTACACACTTTTTCTTGAATTTCTAGTGAATTACAGTAATGGAATTACTTGGTTTAAAATATAATTTACCCTCAAGTTGACCAAAATAATTAATTGAGTTTGATTTGTTGAATTCATAATGATTTTTCTTTTCTGGCAGAGATTTATATAGAAAACATTTGTCAAAGTGGGTAGCTTCATTTCTGCATTTTATATGTTTAAAAAATACATATTATATTTTATGTTTATATTATCACTATCCTGGACCTTAGCTTGAAATTAAACAACAGATAATGTAAGATGTTGATATACGTTCCCTAAGTTTTTCTTTCATGTTTGGGGTCTAAATAGCAATGTTGAAGCCATCTCCCTTCGATTGGTTTGGGTGTTTCTGCGTTATTTTCATGTTCTTTTTTTTTTTAAAGATTTATTTATGCATACAAGAACTGGGGTACAGGACAGAGGTGCGGGTGGTGAGAGGATCCACCAGAGACAGAGTGGAGAACAGAACAGGCAGATTGACTGAAATATACTGTTGAGGGGAGCAGTGGGCGAGTCAGGAGAGGTCTGCTGTGCCATGTGGGTTGGTCCCTGGCTGGGAATCAAGAACTTGTGCTGCAGTGGCTGCGGTGAGCCTCCTAGGTTGTGTCTTAACCCCTTGCGCCACCAGGGAGGCCCTATTTTCATGTTCTTAAGAGAGCTGAGAAGAGCCCTATAATCCCTATCCCCTTTCCTATCTCTAAACGTACTGACCCTTAAAACAGCACTCCAGAAGTGTCATTACTGTCAAAGCCTCCTTAAATAGGGCTTGGAAAGAAAGGGAAACCCTGCTGTATCCATTAGATAACTGACATATGCACATGCAAGGTTAAGAGTGGTGGAGATGACCCCATGAGGAGTACACAGAATGTGAAGTGGTATAGACTTGGGAGAAACAGAGGTGATCGTAGTGCTGATAATATCAAGGTAAACCTTTTCCTCTCCCCACACCTGTCAGTCTAAAGTGTTATTAGCAATAGTTGGTATTTGGGAATCTCCCAGAGAATGGTGTGAGTGTTTGCAATTTTGCCTGGAATGTTTTTCTGGCTGTCCCCTGCCTCACTTTGGTCATTCTCCAGATTGTCCTCCCCTCTTATTCAAAGACTGTCTTCTCCAAACACAAGCACAAGCTTCCTTCTCAGTTACAACCTGTTTCATTTGTTGCATATTTGTCCCAGGATTCTTCCCACACTGTACCCAATGAGTGGAATTAGAATTCATGATTTTGTTATGTGAGTGAGTGAGTGAGTGAAGTGAGTGAGTGAAAAATCCTTTAAAGGAGAGTGCTGAGCATCTTTGTGATGGCTCACGGATTCCATTTGTTATGAATCATGAACATGATGCATTGGCTTTTTAGTGCTGGGTTCCCAAATATTGTCTTTATGAAGCCCAATTTTCCTTATTAGTTTCTCTTCCCTTTTGATCATTTTGATAAACCTGATAAAGACTGCCAGAGGTATTTGTTATTTGCAACTGTCATGTTTAAGTGGTGGCTCTCTCTTGTTGTAGAAGAATAGCAAGATCGTGAAAAATGCCTTAAAATGAAGAATAGGAAATCACCCAATGATTTGGACAACAAAAGGTTCATTAGTGACTTTATTGAGTGATGTTTCTATGGAATAAAGTGTAGAACCCACAGTAGGAAAAACTAAGAAAATGGAGTCAGTGGGGTTAGAGAAATTTTCTTGTGAGGAAAGGCCAGTTTCCATCGCAGCCCCTTTTCATTTGCAGTAAGCCCTATATACAACAATACTTAGCAAATGGTGAAAATCTAACATTTATGGAATACTTACAATAGATGAGGCACTCTTCTAAGTTTCTTGTGCATGTTATTCCTCCATCACAGCTGCCCTGTGAGGTAGACACTATTACATTCTTGTCTCATGGACAAAGCAACTGAGATGAGACGTGAAACCCAACTTACCCAAGGTCACACAGCTAGTCAGTGGTAGGGCTTGGATATGAACAAACACCTTCTGGCACCACCCTCTCTCTTTCTTAAATACTATGCTGTCTTATTAAATGAAGAAGTCCTCCTGGCTCATTAATGAAATCACTCAGGCATTCGTTGTGAAAGGGAGGTTTCCCATTGCCACATGTTTGTGAGTCAAAAGTGCCAGATCATGCGTTGGTGAACTTGAGCTCACAGAGGTTTTATAACCAATGTCATCAACCTCATCTTTAAACTTTTTTTCTTCTCTCCTTTCTTATTTTTGCTGAAGAGACTGTTTTCAAGTCATTTGAATATTACATTATGTTCTAAAGTGTAATTATTTTTCACTCTTACTCAGAGAATTTTAATCCTGGGACCTGATAAATCTATGTAATGTTGCAAAATTCACTTAACCAAGGGAAAAATTATAACTGATTTCTATGAAGATGGGCAATAAGGGCTAGAGGCCCTCATGGCTGACATATGTTTATAACAGACAGTTTTCTAAGTTATACTATATTTCATCCTTAAAGACTCTGGAGCTGTAATACTTTGGTGCTTTTCATAGCATTATCCATTAACATAGAATGGCATTAACATTTGTTTAGCAAATAAAATCCGTTTACAACTTAATGGCGTTGTGCGGGGCTGGAATATAGGACGCACACATTTTATGTAAGACAGTTTTAGATGACAGTTGTTGAGGGACACTACTGCTAACATAGTGAGCCTCTGTAGTGAGAGACCAGTGTTTGAGATTATGGTTTGAACCTAAGGGATGAATTTAGAGACAATGTTAGCGCCACATCAGAGCAGATTACCTTCTTGACTTTCATCTTTAGGCAATAATTTAATTCCACTTTCTTATGAAATATTCATAGTGAATATTTACATAAAGTTGCATTTCTGTTTCTATGAAGGGAATAACTGGTACTTGTTTAAATTCTGGAGACCCAAACCAGTTTCCTGATACTCTAATTGAACATAGTTTAAGGAAACCCTTTTTCTTTGGTTTTCAAAAAGTTAAGTAGCCTCTTGGACAAAATGTCCAGTTTGGGTCCTGGGGTATCTGTGAGTGGTAGCAAGTTGAGAGTACCATCATGTGAAATTCACATCATATGACACCCTCTCATCGTCAGACACTGAATGCTTGGCAGAGAGTAAACTTGTGCTTAAATGTCTGTGTGTTCCTTAACCCAGAGAAAAATATATTAGCCTCTCTACTGAAAAAGGAGAGAATTTAAGTGACTTGTTTGGGTCATTTGCAGACATGGACCAAGGTCAAATCTCCCCTGCTATGGACAAGACAGGCTTTTTCTAGTTCAAACCATTTCCTTTATAAATAATCTCAGGGATTTCAAACAGTTAAGATTTATTAGTGACAAAACAAAGCCCATAAATGGCACAATCAATCTACATATAACTATAGAGGAATGCCATTAATATACCCCTTCCTTGTATTAATAAAATAAAAGCAAAACAAAAGTAAACCTGAAGTAAGTCTTGAGAAATTCATCAAGTAAAACCCAGAAGTCTTACTCAAGACAAATTGGTTCACATGGTACTGTTTTGATTTTTCTTTTTACATATGGCCATCTGAGTGGAAGTACCACAATTTTTATATCCTATTTTACATCTGTAGATGCATTTTTGATAGATATTATATCCTTTTGGCTGAAAGCAAGAGCCCCACCTTAATTGATCCATTTCTACCTGCCAAGGGCGTCCCAGTGCCCATGAGGGTTCTCCACCAGCTTCCTCCTACATTTTAGGGCTGTAGACTTTGCAATGACTCCATAGGTGTTCAGTTTCTAATAGAGGTGGAGCAGGAAATCACTTTAATTTGGAGTCTTTTTCTAAGCCCAGAAGCTTTGAGGTGATGGTGAAAAGAACCTCAGAGGTCTGGAGGCCCCTGCTAGAAATGAATAACTTTGCCTTTCTATTTAACTGTCTCATTCTGATAGATACCTTTGGAAATCACAAAGGCATTTACAGAACCTTGGGCCTAGAGACCAAGGGAATGTTAGCATCCCGAGTATCTAAGGTCTGTGGGAATATATTCTTGCCCTAATAGTAACGGGTAAGTTCTGATCCCGCAGTGGATATCTTTTCAGGGGTGTTTGTCAATATTTTAACATGAAGGAGCTGGCTGGAAGAAAGGGAAATATATACAAAAGCTAGATGCCACTAGAGACCACAGAAGGCTCTGCCTGCCTCCTGCTGCCCCCAGGCTGATAAAAATTAGGAGAGGAGCAAAGGAAGTATGTCTGT